GCCCTGGGCGGCCGCCGCCGGCGCGCGCGCTCCCTCCCGCCGTCTTCTCCGCCCCACGCTCCTCCCGCAGCGCCTCTTCTCCTCCCCCCTCCAGCCCTCGGTCCCCCTCCTCTCTCGGCGAGACCCCGGCAACCCTGCGCTCGGGGCGCTCCTGTTGTGGGCGCTGCCGACACAGGGATGAGCCAGGCGAGGCCCTTGCCCCCCTGGTTTCCCCGCGGAGGTGGCAAGCGGGTGAGAGAAGGAGGGATGTGGAGGAAAAAAGCTGGGGCTCGAGGGAAGGTGATGTTCCAGATGCACAGGCCCGTGCAGTGAACGCGGGAAAACTGAAAGCATTGGCAGGGAGAAGCTAGGGGTGTGGGGCAGGACCTCTGCACCTGTCATGGCTTCAGATCAGAAGAGTAGCTGCTTTCTACGGCCATGTGCATCTGTGACTGTTACACCCTGTGTGATCCTGGGCAGACATGTGAGGCAGCTGTCTTGCGTCTGACGCCCAGACTGTTACCCACATTCAGCCTTCTCCACTGGCCCAGACCGAGAAGCGGATCAGGGGCTTTGCAGGTATGGCAAAGAAAAGAAAGGCAGGGACTGTGGAGGCCCAGAGGAGGGCTGTGTCATCCCCGCCACCAGAGGCCGCACCTCTAGCTCCTCTGCTTGGGCCGCACTAGCCTCTGCACAAAGAAGGCAGCGCGGCCCCACCTCTCCTACAGAACGAAGCTTCACTAGATTTCAGCCACCTGCTGGCGAGCCTGGCCCAACCTTCAGAGAGTGAAATTCTTGGGCATTCGTGGTAAACCAGGCCCACTGAGGGTGCCCAGGTCCAGTGTTAAATCGGCCCCCTCTCTTCAGAAAAAAAGGGTGGACGCTGGGATGCCTAGGCCAGGAAGGCACAGAGTCAGCGGCTGTCTCTCAGTCTTACGCCTTCTCCCTAAAGAGTAGCTCATGGCTATGGCCACCCCACCAAAAAAGAACAGAGACCTTGGGGGACCATATGATGCCCCTGCCTTCATCCCTTGATCATGTCCAGGCCTCATGCTGGCGCTGGAAGTTCCAGCCACAGTGAGGTCCCTTCTGTTAGAAGATAAGAAAATGTAGCAAAACCACTTACGTAGCATGTGCTGTGTCAGGCTCTGTTCAAGGCTCAAGGCTGCAGAATGGCAAATAAGGTCCCTCCCCACCCCACCCCTGATGCTTACATATTAATCAGGAGAGAGAAATACAGGAGCAAAAAAGGATTATTTCAGATCATCGTAATTGCTATGAAAAAAATAAGCAATATAAGAACATAGAGGTAATTTAGAGAAGGTGATCAGCTCAAAGGAGGTGACATTTCACTGACAGCGAGGAGCCTGACCACATGAAGGTCAGGCAGGAGGCCGTTCTTGGCAGAGAAGAGCAATGGAAGAACAGCATGGTAAGCTGGGACCTAGAGACAGGGAGGCTTTAAGGGAGTCACAGGACGGCTTTTGTAGAGTTTGGATTTTGTCTCCAGCACAAGGATACCCTCTGTGACACCCTTGGAAGTTAGGATGGAGTCCAGATTCACCCGTCCAGCCTCACCTCCCTTCTACGTTGCACTTGGGCCTCAGTTTCTCATCGGGGAGATGACAGGGAACTGGGAGTCTTAGAGTTCCTTCTAGTGCTAAGATTTTTGCGTGGAGTCAAGTTCAGAGGCAGCAGGCTAAAAGCATTAGCCTTGGGTCTGACTGCGGAGTCTGAGCCTGCCCCTTCCCTCCCTGACTAGATGAACTTCGGCTCCTCCACTTCTGTGGCTCAGGTTCTGCAGGTAAAAGATGGGACACTGGGACCGGGGAGGGCAGTACCCACCACACAGGCTGCTGTGAGGTTCCGATTAGATGTGGCTGTGTAGATGAGATTCAATTAGATTCGGCACAGTAGATGCCGGATGAACATTAGTATTACTATTATTCAAACACCCTCCTCAAAAACCTCTGACTGCTCCCCAAACCTCAAAGAATATGAATTGCCCAGCCTGGAGATACAGTTCAGTGGGTAGAGGCCTGCAATTGAGTTACTTGGGGGGCTGGGGCAGTAGGAACATAGGTTTAAGGGTGCAGAGAGAGTTCCGGACCAGTCCGGGAGGCCTCCACAGCAGGTAACCAGCGGCCCAGTTCCTGCTCCACAACCTTGCTCCTCATTCTGCCCCCGAGAGCTCAGCTTCAGGCCTTTTCCACCTTGTACCCTCTGCCTGGAGCATTCACCTGGGCTGCTATCTGTCCATCCTCTGCTTTCACAGCCTCTAGGGAAGCTTCTTATCTCCCTACAGAAATCCTCTCCTCCCCCAAGCTCCCATGGCTCTGTGTGTCAATCTCTCTGAACTGCCCCTTGGATTGACTCCTGTGCAGAGACCTCAGATCAGAAAGGGCTTCCTAATCCCTGCTTGGCCTCTACTGGTGGCCTGTTAAAGGGTGGTATGGCCCCATACATTTGCCCCAGGATCAGAAAGCCCACAGTCCTGGTTGGCTCTGGGTTGGGGTGGGTGGGAGGGATGTAGATGATAAGACTCCATTCCTTCCCTTGAGGCTTCTCTGGTTTAAGGACCAAGACAGCTTTGGAAAGACGGTGATGTCACAAGCACCCCATAGTAGGCTGCTCACAGATGTAAGTCCCCACCCCCACCCCCATCCTCACCCCCACCCATGCCCACCCCCGCTTCTCAGGCCTGTGTCACTCAGAGAACCCAGGATGGAGACCAGGGCCCAGCTGAGCGTGGAGCTCTCTCCCTGCCCCCTCCCCTCGCTTTACAGGAGTGCACCCCCATTCTCCCTGATATGCTGTGGGTCTGTTGCCCATCTCCCCTTGCCAGAGTCTTGTAAAAGAGATGTTCTAATTCGTGATAATTCATGGTTAGATCACTTGGTATCCATGTGACCGCAGGAAAGTTATTTGAACTCTCTGTTTGTTTTATGGGTATTGTGTCTGCATGTATGTCTATGTATCATGTGCATGCCTGCTGGCAGAGACCAGAAGAGGGTATAGGATCCCCTAGCCTGGAGTTACAAAGTTGTAAGCTGTCGTGTGGGCACTGGGACTTGAACATGGGTCCTCTTGAAGAGCAGCCAGTGCCCTTAACCACTAAGCCATCGCTCCAGCACCTTACTTGAACTCTCTGGGTTAACTTTCTCATCTATAAAGTGTGAACATGGCCCTGTGAAGTGACCCAAAGCCTGGTCACCTGACTTTCATCCCTGGGGCTCATGGCAGAAGGAGAGAAATGGCTCCCTCAAGTTGTCCTTCGCATTCCACATATGTGCCATGGAACATGTGGGTGTGCGCTGAAACAGGAGGATCACCACAAGTCTGAGGCTAGTCTAGGCTTTCGGAAGATCCCGTGTCAAGATAAAATGAAAAGGACCTACCACTAGCCGGGCGGTGATGGTGCACGCCTTTAATCCCAGCACTTGGGAGACGATGGCAGGCGGACTCTGTGAGTTTGAAGCCAGACAGTTCTAAATAATGAGGACAGCCAGGGCTATGTGGGGAGACCCTGTCTCAATAGATAGATAGATAGATAGATAGATAGATAGATAGATAGATAGATAGATAGATAGATGATAGATAGATAGATAGATGATAGACAGATGATTGATAGATAGATAGATGATAGATAGATAGATAGATAGATAGATAGATGATAGATAGATAGATAGATAGATAGATAGATAGATAGATAGATAGATAGATA